AACAGAAATACAACTTCAAGAACAAAGAAACACCATAAATACAAGTAACGCAACATGCACTACAAAGACAGGTTCATCCAATAAAGTTACACGCCCTAGCACATTTAAAAAACACAAAACTCTTTCTTCACAGAAACACACCACGTTATCACAACCCACTCGTATTCAACCCAAACGCAAAAACCTATACAGCACTACTAGCTCACAAAATACTGTAATATCTCCATCAATAACCCAAGCAACCTCACAAATACAACCTCAAGAACAAAGAAACACCATAAACACAAGTAACGCAACATGTACTACAAAGACAGGTCCATCCAATAAAGTTACACGCCCTAGGACAGTTAAAAAACATAATACTCCTTCTTCTCAGAAACAACCCACTCGTATACAACCGAAACGCAAAAACCTTAACAGCACCACAGGCTCACAAAATACTGCAATATCTCCACCAAAAACCCAAGCAACCTCACAAATACGACCTCGGGAACAAAGAAACACCATAAATACAATTAAAAAACACAAAACTCCTTCTTCACAGAAGCACACCACGTTATCACAACCCACTCGTATTCAACCCAAACGCAAAGCCAAAGAAACACTTACACAATAAACTCCATTTAATAAAATTACAGGAATTATTATAATGAATTTTTTTGTTTTGTTTTGTTTTCCTCTTTCCTGATAGCGTTGGCTATTGTGCCCATCAATAGGTATGTTGGTAAGTACGAATTACATTATCCCTAGATGTCCAATGTACGTGTGTGAGGACCCTACATAACTTCACCAGACACAGACACAGACACTAATCGTTACTTGATTTTAATCCGTGCGATTAGTTAACCAGGCTAGACCTGAGTTCTCACAAGAAACACCGACCATAATAATAATAGTTTATTGTATACAAGATGTTACATCTCATTACAAGAGCCTTCAGAATCGAACAGTTGTAGTAAAAAAAAAGAAACGGAATTTTAAATCTATAAACAGAAAATTTAAATTATGGATGTAGGTATTGTATCTATAATATTGTTTAGAAAAAAGAACAACTCTAAATATTAACAAAACTCACCACTTGACCTACGAAAATATTTCTCTTTGATTGCTAGTGAACATGTAATTGAAGTTATTTGAGTTTTTAGACAGATTTGAGGTAAAATTCCACACAGGCAAAAAATATCGCACTGACTGTTGTTACCGTCTCTAAATTCATGGAAATTAGACATACCTTGAACATTTCAAAAAATCACATTTAATTTCTAGTGTTTATTACTTGAACTGAAGATTTTGGTGTTTTGCTTTTCTGGAGTTGCATCCTTCCCTTCACACCGGCGTTTTGAATCCGCAATGATTTAAAAGGACGGTCGACACAAAATCCTAGGACTCGTATAATGAATGGCTCCTTTGATTTGAAGTTTATACGGATACTCAAAATTAGATGATCCGAAGGTAACTATCAATGTCATATAATAGATAAGATACAAGTGTATAATCAAGTCTTTAAAGCACGCGCAACGAGTTTAATGGCACGACGCGAAGCGGAGTGCGTTTAACGTTGCAAGTGCTTTAAAGACCAGTTATACACGTGTATCTTAAAGTATTTTTTATTATACCTGCAGTATAATTTAAAAATAGGAAATACAATGAAATCATATTGACGTTATACCCGAATACATGTCTAATTAAGTGGGCTGGGTGTTCGTAATTTTACGATGGCCATGGAAATGTCACTTGACGTTTGCTTATAAAAATCATCGTCTTTGTGAATAAAACAATTTCCGTTGAAAAAGATAATACGCCGTCCATTAAATCGCTTGTGTAAAATCTAAACAAACGTTGGTAGGTGTAAAATCCAAATCCCGTAAAGCCTATTATAAAAAATATGAAAAGTTGTTTCCATGGATTACTTACAAATAAACTCTTAAATGCATCAATAATGCTGGCATATATCTAAATCTTCTATCTTTTGGTGCATTCATTCAAAACTTCAAACAATGCTGCGTTGAAAAATGGAACAGATTTGGAAGCATACCCTAAATTACGCGCTTTTGTGAAAGCTTCAACCAAAGGATTGGTACAAGCCAAAGAAATGTTCTGCATTTACAGAAAGCGACTTATGAGGATTTTTTATTTCACCCAGATGACAGTTTCAAAAGTCATACTTGAGGTATCGTTACTTGGCAACTTTAAAGCACGTGTGTTTTAAGGCCTTTTTCGCACGCATTTGAGTGTTTAAAACGGAGATTGTGATGCGGGTATAATAAAAAAATATGATTCGGGCGCCACTAGTCACTTCAGTAATGCGAAAACATACAATATGAGATTTTTCGTTTAAGTCCATTCACCTTGAAATATTACCCCAATGGATCATAATTTCGCCATTTAATGCTTACGCTATTGTTTTTACTTTGTGGCAGTATTCCCTGTCACTACAAACTTTAATTCGGTATTTTAAACGTTTATTTCCGCTATTGTTCGTATTCACCGTAATGACTTCTAATTAACAAATTATCCCTAGGATAAAAACAGTCACAATATTTATTCGCGAATTATTTTAACTGGTCACAAGAAAAAACAATTAACACCATAATCTTCGAGTGGCGTCCCGACTATAAAAAAAACCTGCGATAAATTTACAGGGGGTTGAACCAACTTCGCTCTCGGTTCAACGCGCATAGCCTCACGGTTCCCCGCAGAAGAACAACCAATGTCCAATCTAATGTTACAAAACCAATCAAATTCATTGACGGCTATAACTCAACTCAACTAGTCATCTCCTGATAAGTTAGCCAATCCCACGCCTTTACGAACTGTAAAATTTTCTTTAATCTGAGCTAACCACGCCACATCCCACAACTCGCCGGCAACTTTCAAACGCATTTAATGTGTGGACCATATTTCAGGAGTACATAGAAAATCGAAAAAATGCAAGCAAAATTCCAATCCAAAACTCCAAAACCCCAAAAACTCCAAAGGCCGAAAGTGGTCGATTCTCTACATTAGACATTCTTCTTCTTTAATAGATCATGAATTCATGACCTTGAACCATCAATCGTATATCTCAATATTTTAAACCATACGTCTCTAATTTTAGAGGCCTTGTATTGTAGCGAACATTCCAGAAACTGCGATAGACATTCAGGCGCCATAAAAGATTAGTCATTGGCGATAAAAATGAAGGCGGATGTGACAAAATCTTTCCGGAGCGTTCTAAGAACAATTTAGAACAATTGTCATTTGCCATATAAGCGGGTTGAGTTGCGTATGAAGTTACAATTTCGACGCCGAAGTAATAAATAGTTCGCGCTGTTATAAATTGCGTAATTGTAAGTGATAAAGATGAAGTAATTTCTGCAATTAATGCAAGAAATGAAAGCCGGTCAAGTTAAAATGAAACCTGAATTCGTGGCTTGTCAACAATCGATGGAAACTAAAATCGGAGCTCGTCAACAAACCATGAAATCTAAATTCAAATCTGGTCACAATCAATGGAAGTTACAGTAGAAGCGATACAAAGCATCCAATATGAGATTCAGGGTGTCTAAGATAAGATTCATACGGTAGAAAATGAAATTGACGAACTAATAAAACTGAAGAATACGAAAATCTGTGTCACTTTTGATAACACAAGATTTAGTTGATGTGATGAACTCAAAATGGAGTTGACGTAGAATAGAGTCGTTAAATTAAACACAAAACCAGTGCTGTGTTTTATTTTATTTTATTTTATTTTATTTTATGTAATGGGGGGTCTATTTTATATGACAACCGGGAAATCGCTAATTAAATTGGAGCTAATTGTTGGTCAGAACTCATTATTAAGATGCGACAAATCTACTGTAAACTCACCCTTCATTAGAAACGCCCGTCTGTAATCTGCGCATAAGGGGTTGGCATGGCAGCATTCAGTCTGACTGGTCGTCTTCCGCGCTCAAGGGTCATGTAAACAAATATCGCGACTGCTTAACCGCGATCCTCGTTAAATAATTAGGTAACTCACCGGGGGGCGTTAGCCCCGAACTGGCTGTAAGCTCTCCTGGACCTCCGAATACTCCGGTTGGCGATTGAGGTGGAATGCGTCTTTGGAGATGGCTTCCTGAAGGGTTAAGATGGAGCTCATACCTATTTGGGAAAGGGTTACGCCGCGCGCACGTGTATTATTTAGGATACACATCCCGCCTTGGCCCTCTGACTAGGACCCTCGGCCAATAGATCAGTAACGTCGATCTATGTCACTCATTGCCCTACCTGGGAACGACATCCAGGTCGAGCTCACCCCCGAACTGTTTGTGTTAACAATGAGGCCTTTATGTTTCGTATTGGGTCGACACCATGATCTACTCGAGCGAGTAGATCACTCAGCGGTATAATCAACGGGAGCTACCCGCGGGACCGCGTCATAGGCACATGCACATAATGCACTCTAAAAGCCTAGGAATATATCCGGATATCTGCCAGGGGTTTTACCATAGCCCAACAACAATGCACGACCAGCACGATGGTCTGCACAATACACTCACCACCTACACGTGGGAGACACTCACCACCTACGCGTGGGAGACACTCACATTAAAGGGCTATT